CCTTGAAGCCTTTGGGCTATCATATTCACAGAGCCCAAAAAAAGGTATAACTATTCAATTTTAGGGTCATCATAGGACATGGATTTTCAGATCATTAGTCATCATATTGACAGGGCCAAAAACCAAGGCAACAAAAGCACATACCAAAGCACAACCCAATATAGTGGTTCATTGATATCACCCATCGTCCTTCGATCTCTGCCTGAGGTCGACACGACCCTCCAACAGGCAATCTGCCTATGGCACAGGCAGCAACCATTTCTTCACGCCCTGAGAGGCCAGAGTCCCTATGTACGCATTCAGCTGGAACGATATCCAACTCTGAATATTCGATATGATCATGCAATCATTTGGGACCACAACCAAGTCTTGATGCCTTTGTTTGATGGCCTAGGGCATAGCTCCATAATTTGGCACGAATTCCAAATGATTGCAGGGATCCTTTACAAAGGGTCCAATCCGACCGCTAGACATTACCAAGCAGTCTTGTTCAATTCCGGCTGTCGCCTCCTGTGCAATGACAATCGTCCGCCTAGTCGCTTAGTCCGGAAGCAATCCTTTTACGAAGAGATCTACATGTTGTGGCTTGCACCATGGTCTACGACCAGGATGGAGTTCAGACGCCCGTTGCCCTTAATAAATACAACATCAACCAGCACGACACTTGCCATGCTCATTTCGAAACATTTTAACTAGGATGCATCTCGATGGCCAACGACGTTCAATGAAGTGTCCATGTTCGCATGCGATCCAACGCGAGCGATGGATATGATCGCGGGCGATGGATATACTCGCGAGCGATGGATATGATCGCGAGCGATGGATATAATCGCCGGCAATTGACTCCCTAAATCAAAGAATTTCAAATTCTATATATTTCTAAGATTGGGGATGATTAAAATTATATTATTAATATATTTAATCTTTTAAATTTTCAAATTATAAATAATAAATTCTATGGGATTAATAGAAAATATTTAAATAAAGGAATTATATATAATTATTAGTTAATTTAAAAACGAAACGATAAATCCAATTTCCATGGTATTATCATTTAAAATATCATCAATATTTTTTTGCATGAATTGTAATATCGAAAATCAATAAAGAAGGTCGACGTAAATAATTAATTTTAAAAATCGACATAATTATGTTTAATATCATTTAAAGAAAATATATAATTTTCAATTTTGAAATCCTAATAAACATAATTCTAAATAATATTATTCATTTAATTTATTTGGTACGAAAGCAATAATCAAATTGGTGTCGTTGTCGATCAATTACAATGTCGAACAAAATTTAATATCTTCCTCCATAAATATAAAAAATATTATTTATTATGTTTTTGTTTATATTCCCTAAATATTAATTTAAAAAAAATACATCATAAATCCATTTAATGCAAAATATCCTATTATTTATTATTTAAATATTAGTTAATTATTATAATTAGTTCCTTTCGAAAAAAAAAAATCAAAAAAAAAATATCCCTTATTATTAAGAATCCTAAATTCGAATAATTTTTTCGTATTATTTTTTTGTTTTTTATTGTATTTTAAAAAACAAATCAATAATTCAAAGAACCAAATACATCTTTAAAAATATTACAAATCCATAATAATAAATTAATTAGATTAAAAAGACACCCAATATATATCTAAAATTCCTTTCGTTATATTATATTCTTAAATTTCTTATATTTAAATCCCAAAATAAAAAAAATATATCGTATAACCCCAAAATTCAATTCATCGATTACGTTTCAAAAAAATCTATTTCACCTCCAACCCGCTCGCCCCAATCCAAATCACTTCACACAACTGATTCATTCCACACCAACGCACCTCACACCAACTCCCTTCACACCAAGAAACCCCACACAATTCAATTGACTCAAATCAATCCACACAAGCGACCCACATCAATTGCCTTCCTCGACGCTCAACTCACGCAACTTACCTCCCACAATGTCAGACACCAACGACCAACTTGAACCAAACACTAATCCCATCCATCTATGGCTTTGACCTTCAACCGCAAGATTCTGTTCAATAGATAGGAATTATATTTATGTATTAGTTCGATGAAATGCTTGTGGATTATTAGACATGAAAATTCGAAATATTTAGTACATGAAATATCAATATAAATATATTGCCCACAGCTTCAAGACTGGTTCAACTCGCATAGCCCATCTGCACAACATGATGCAGGTGAATTCGCTAGATGGATGAGATGCCAAATGATTGAAAAGATTCTGACGCCATGTCAAAGGCTGACGGAACACTCCTGAAAAGCACGGCTGCGAGACAGTGTTGAGGATAAAGGTTCCTTGCCACCACCTTGCAAGATATTGTTCACCTTTGGTTCCTTTTGTGAATGCCCGGAATGCCCTGAGATCGACCAGCTCGTGGATTTGCCTCCAGCTAGAGAGATATCCAGACTTGTTTCATCGCCATGATTGCTCCATCACCTGGCCACGGAATCAGGAATCCTTGCCGGTCTGTAATGGCCTCAACAATCGTTCGGTGACTTGGCATGAATTTCAAATCCTGGCAGGAGTTGTGCATAGGGGCACAACACCAGATGCAGGACGCTATCAAGCTGTCCTCTTCAACTCGGGCTGTGGAACGATCTGCAATGATCCTCTTCAACTCGGGCTGTGGAATGATCTGCAATGATCATCAACTGCCTTGGAGACTGGTTCGAGGCCCTACTTTCTACAGAGATATCTATCTACTATCTCCTGTGGGCAGCTCCGTTTGAAGCCACCACTCCTCTGTGGCGACGACCGTTGCCTTCGATTGCACCAAGTGAAGCCAAATAACCACATTGATTTCTAAATACTTCGCACGCTTTTGCCTTGCATCTTGATGGGGCCACCTAACACTCTCAAAGTGTCCTAAACACCATGCCTAGCGGCCGAATACGGGCGAATTGATGGACGATGAAATCGATAATGTTTATTGAAATAACATACTATATAATTATGCGGTTTTGCCGTCGTCTATCGCCAGCAAGGATCAGTTTTAGCAAGGTTTAGCCCGTTTGCGTGGGCTGTGCCACAGGATATTGTTGTATGTTGTGTGCAAAGAATGGCTCAACTGGTTTGAAACACTTGCCGGAACAATCTTTGAAAGTGATTCGTGGCAGCGTCTACGTACTTGGCCATGTGAGACAAAACAATGCTACACCGGCGTTTCAATCATTCGACATCTCATCCAAGCTCCTGCAAGCAAGCTGGATGCGACTTGGCGATGAACACATGCACACAGTGGAGCTGCTAAGAAACCAAATCCAACGTCTGACATGCAAATTCTTTCAAGCGGTCTTTGAAATCTGGTACAGCTTCAGTTGGTTGCCCCCTTTGACTTTGGGAATTCCATCTTTGCCCGCAATGTTTCTTGCGCTGCCTCAACGAGATGTCATTTCTGATGGTGAAAGGATGTTCTTGCTGGAATTCTCTTGCCATTGCCAAAATTGCATAAAACTGCTGACTCCACTCATGTCCTGAGATCCATGGCAGACGCACTGGCATAGAAGCAAGATCCGATTGCCTGGAGCAAAAAGAAGCCGCAAAAAGTCACGGCTATCCAACAGCTATATAATTTATCGGACACTGCAGAATCATTGTTCTTCCAAGCCTGTGCAATAGACACCAACAAGGACAGAAGCACCAAGAAGTTGACCTGGTGCTGGCTTCAATAAGAATGCTATAGGCCGGCAGGCAAAACATAGCTAGTTCAGTAAACGACAAGAGGCTACTAGTTGCACGGACGCAAAGAACCCTTCTCTTGGTCGAAACGGTTCCTAAATACTATGCTTTGTGGACTCGGGGAGCAAACTATCTTGTGGGCTCATTGAATTTCATCCACAAAGACTCCAGCAGCTTCTAGCTACTAGTAGCGATGCCCTTTGCTACTAGTAGCTTCTTGTTCCTAGTAGTAAGGCCAGGAGCCCCTAGTAGCGTCCTTGCTCCCAGTAGTACGGCCAGGAGCTACGACTAGTACTACCGCTGCTCACCACTTCTGCTACAATCGTCTTGCGCCTCACAGTCCATGATGAAGAAAAACTTCAAGCTGCACTGCACCTTGGTGATGGTGGTGTGAGGATGTTTCGCCCGCATGGTTTCACCCGTGCATCCTTGACATTGCTGCTTCATATGTGTCTAATGCTTGTTCGTGTGCACCTTACTTTGTCGTTTGATCTTTGTTGAGTAAATTCATTGCCGAAAGGAATCGTTTGGATTTCCCACATGCACCGTATTGTTTTGGGGGGCGATCAAGGCCATTGACCTCAGGTTTGGGCTACATCCTCACAGAAGCAGCGTGAAAACGAGGCAATGGATATAGCGAATTCCTGTCAGTTCCAATCTCTTCAGCTCTTTTGATTCCAAAGACATTGACAACGTTGCCAGACTTGATCCAAAATGCTACTTATACAACCGCACATGTGACACACACCTCCAACAATGTGAACCTTTTCCTCCAGCATTCACGCAAACCACCAACGTTTACTCTATCCATGGTTCCCCACCTGCGTTTCTTGGCAGCTGATTGGTACATAATGCCTCCGAAGCACCTGCAGCTCGGAACAAGTCCTACTGGATCACCGGACCACTGCAATCAAATTGTCGAGAAACATAGCATTGCGTGTTTGTCACGTTGGTAGTGAAACAACAATTGCACAACTCACGCCATGAATATCCATGAACCATGAAGCGCAAAAGTGGCACCAGGTGAAGCAAAGATAAGTCGTTCAGGTGAGCAAAGTTTGCTGCTTTGATGGTGTTGACCTGAGCCAAGTGAGCTGAAGAATCTCACATATTACCTTTGGAAAGGTGGGGCACATTTGTCAACGTAAGCATTTCCTGGAGATCCCTGAGTCCCTGCAAGTAGATACAAAATCCGCCCGCACCGAAGGTGCCGGTGCGTTGTGGCAGCTCTGGGCAGCCGCAAGCAATCGCAACAAATCTGCTAGATTAAATCTTAAGCTTTAGCTTGGGGGTGGAGTTTTTTCAACTAGAAACGTGCGCTTTGCAGTGTTGTTTACAATGGATATGTTTTCAGAGTAGACGTTGGCGATGCCGGACATGCCTCGCATTATCGACATCGCAGATGTATGCGCACGCCAGGGGACACTGTACTATTGATATCGTGGGTGTGTGTTCGGCCCGCGTCCGGTCCGAGTGGAAGAGGTGATTGATATCGAGTGTGTGGCTTTGCTGGCATACAATCAGTAGCGCCGTGTCCGGAGCCGCGCGCCGAATTTTCGTCGCCACAACGGAGCTGCGTAGGATGGTCGTTAGTGCAGTGCTGAGGAAGTGCCCGACAGAAGTTTTGCCAGCGAAACGTGAAACAGAGACTGCCTCAACCAAAAAAAGAAGCGTGACAAAGGTTGTGACTCTGCTTACTCCCGCGCACCAATGACACTCACGTCACACAAACGAGATTGCTAGTAAACGTGGTGACACGCGTGACCCTGACACACACACACACTGTCATTGTGACCAGACCAAGGCACAAGGTTGTTTCACAACTCATCTTTCAAAACGGCAAATGTAAAAATCCAACAAGGTCCTTTGCTACCAAAAGTTTCACGCTCCTCTGTGCTCAGCCAGCGGCCGTTTCTCGCACACACTACGGCTAGAAATCTTGAACACGTTGTCTCGGAACTTTGCGCATTTCCAAGCACCACTTTCGTCAAAGTGGCCACAGGCGACGTGAGCTCGAAAATGTTTTTGTCGATGACAGGCATGGCCCGTTCCGTCCTCAAAAGGCTGTTTCCACAAGAAAATATTGTAAATTCTGGATTGTACACCGTCCAAAGAAAACCAATTGTAATGGAAATCAATGTTTGTACATCGTTGCGCGTTCTTTGGCATCTCGTTGGTTCAGCTGGCGCAACGAGCGCCGCCATGCAAATTGAAGATTCGCATCTTCCATCGTCGTGACATGAGTCACATGATGACACGTTCCCACGCGCACCTGCCGGTTTGCTTCCATTCATTACACAGTGGACGCCATGGCCTGATACGCTTCTTGCAGCTCTGGCGGCGTCACCGTCCGAAACGCGTCTTGCACGTTCTGGGCTTCGAAATCAGGTAGGGTTCGACCTTCTGCCGCAGAAATGCTGGCGCAAAACTGGTTCCACTGGTTTTCAATTTCTGCTTTTGCTCGAGCTTCTTCCGGCGCCGTGCTGCATACCAATCGTGTCCGGATCTGGTATCCAAAGCACACCCTGGCGCTCAGCAAAATGCATCGTGCGAGTTCATGACTGCGGCACCTGCAGAGGATGACCTGCTGAAACGGATGTGCTTTCTTCAAGCCCGTGCAACAATAAGCGCGCGCAAGCTCCTCTTTCTTCGCATCGAGGGTCGCACGAATTGTATACGCCGGCCGCTCTGAGCGACGCAGTGGAATGTAGAACTCTGCCGTTCCAACAGTCACTGGGTCCCATTTGTGAACTGTCGTCACACAAGTCATGGCCGCGCCACGACTTTGCAGTTCAGCTGCCTCCGAGTATATGCCGGTAGCGCTTAAAAGCATCTTCAATCAACACCTCGGCCACGTAATTCGGGTCTGCGACAGCCGTGCGAACAGTGGACAGAGCGTTGGGCAAGAGATGCTCTGCCCAGGTCTCCGCAGACATGTAAGCCATCGCAGGCACTTGAATAGTTGCATCCTTGACACCATAGATGCCATGGCACGGTCAAGTTGTCGACGCGCAAGGCCGACCAAATCGCTGGGTCAGGTCCCGCGTCGGTCGGGTTCTTTCGACTTTCCATCCGACTTAAGCTGGCAACTTCAATCCCTCGAAATAGGAAGCGGCCATGGGCTCCGGAGGAGCCTCGTCCTGTGGCCAGCTCATTTTGTCCGGAACTGGCTCGCCAGCCACCGAAGCGTGCCGTTCAAACCGGGAGCGGTCGCCACTGACCACACCAAAACAACCAGGGGATCTCAGGTTGGTACATCCACCAGGGGCGGGACTGAAAGTTGGCCTGAATAATGTTCTCACAGGTCCGGACAACGCGTGTCCAAAGGAGATGTCCGGAGATGGACCACGAGTGACATCTCAGACGGCGCGAACCTCTGCAGGCCCAGAGCCTGCCCGGCTTTAGCATCAGCGCCTCTAGATGTAAGCATCACTTCGTCGCGAAGATCCTCCACAAAGAGATATGCTCGGTGTTTTGCTCTTTTGCTCGAGTCAATCTTGTGTAAACGAGCGATTTCTCCAGCGCGAGACCTCGCCAAGCTGGGTCGTCTTTCTGTCGTCGAGCGCCTAAACAAACTGCCACCTCGGCATGCGCCCCGACAATAGAGAGGAAGACCGTTAGGGAGGCTTGGGACTGGAATGATCCATGTGTTTTGCGCAGCTGCGGTGACACTAATCATGGAGTTCCTCCCCAAAGATGGTCCGCAAGTGTGCGATTGCTGGTTCGCCGGTTCGGAGGGTTTCTGCGTTGACAAAATTTTGGTGGCATGCGTACGGTGCTCCATTGTAGCGGCTGCTCGAGTCTCGCGCCCAAAGTCTGCAAAGAGGCACTCTCTGAGACAGCTGCGGTCGGCGCGCAACGCTCTGATGTGGGTCACCTGCCAGAAGCGCAGCCTCGAACTCTAACAAGTTCACTGCTTCTCGTTCGCTTGGCTGGCTCGTTCATGTATAACTTGATAAAGTCGTCCTGCCAAAGGACAAAGGACGTCCTTTGAGATCTTTTCCCCAGCCGCTGCGCACACTCGCGAGCTTTGTCAGCGTATAAGGTTGTGGCACAAGCTGCTTGACAGCGTCCTGTTTCACTTCTGTCAGTATACATCATACACTGTGGTCTGCAGATGGAATCCTCGCCATGTCAGCAGCAGCAGTGCTAAGGTGAGAAGATTCCCCGGCTCCGGAGATCCACCCAGAGTTGGATTTGCGCAAGCATGGCATCCACGAATGCATAAGCTGCAGCAAAAGTCTGCCTCTCGTTTCTGCTGCTGCCTGCAAATGCTGCTGTAGTAGATCTTCCTTTTCGTTTCATCAAAACCAAGCATGGTCACGGTTCCGGGCGGGGCCATGGCCCGGACAACCGTGCGCCGCACGCATGGTTGCGCTAACGAAAAGGATCAACGGCCGAGAGTTCAGCGCTGCTCGCTTGGTGTTAATGCTGTAGAGGGCAAGCGCCGTCAGGAGGGCTGTTCCCCCCCGCAGGCAAAAATGCTGATCACCGTCAACACGCATTGGAGACTCCGGATTAGTTGCTTTTGAGCGTCAGTCAAAAGTATCCCCAACTGAGTTTGAGCAAATTCAAACACAGGCTCCCGAGTCAAATCAAGAGTTCATTCCACACAGGTGTCACCCGAGGCGCGTTAGCGGTGCCCAGCCAGGCATGAAACGCTGGCGCCGGGGGAGATGTATCGAACACACGCAGCAGCGAGGGATGCGCCGCTTGCGCGGGCGAAGGAGGCGCGCGGCTGCAACACAATCGCACGGTACAAGAAGACCAACTCGTGAATGGGATGTCCGTAGTTGCACTGCACAAACTTCGAGCGACGTGGCAAAGCGTGTCGGCGAGCGATTGTAGGCTGGTATGCTGGCGGTGGCTGGCTGCGCTGGTTGCGCTGGTTACGCTGTTTACCCTGGTTACGCTGGATACGCTGGTTTACGCTGATTACGCTGGTTACGCTGGTTACGTTGGTTACGCTGGACACGCAGGTTACGCTGATTACGCTGGTTACGCTGTTTGCGCTGGTTACGCTGTTTGCGCTGGTTACGCTGGTTACGCTGTTCGCTGCTTATGCTGGTTACGCTGACCACGCTGTCTACACCGGATACGCCGGTAACAGTTTCAACGGTGTAAACAGTGCAAACATTGTAAACGGTGTACAGTAGACGGTCCGGTGTAAACGGTGCAGACGGCGTAGAAGGTGTAAATGGTGTAGACGGTGTAAACGGTGTAGACGGTGTTAACGGTTCAGACAGTGTAGACGGTGTAGACGGTGTAAGCGGTGTAAACGGTGTAGGCGATGTAAACGGGGTAGATGGTGTAAACGGTGTAGACGGTGTAAACGGTGTAGATGGTGTAAACCGGGTAGACGGTGTAAACGGTGCAGACGGTGTAGACGGTGTAGATTGTGTAAACGGTGTAAACGGTGTAGACGGTGTAAACGGTGTAAACGGTGTAGACGGTGTAAACGGTGTAGACGGTGTAAACGGTGTAAACGGTGCATCGAAAAATTGTGGACACTGATTATGCCAGCAACGCAAAATTCCGCGCCTCAGGAAAGAGTGGTCGCATCGAGACTTGGCTGCAAAATCAACTGCTTGCCTCTAATATATAAGACACGCCAATCACCACGCGCAGCGAACCTGCTCCCCAGACCTTTCGAGGATTTTGGCGTTGCACTTCTTCCACTCTTGCGCGAGCGCAAACCCACATGTAGCAGTTCTTGGCCGTCGTCCACATCCTCGAGCATGAGCAATCTCGCGACACGCTCACCATCGCTCCTCTTGCGGTCCGGTGTTCGGGCGATAGCTGCTCTGGCCGGCTGCGCTGCGCCGTGTTCGACAGCGAAGTGGACTTTTTGTCGCAGCTGACGTAGCAACAAAATCAACGCCATTCTCGTATCTGCCACACCTCCTGGGTAAATTGGACCGTGGGCGCTGCGCACCAAACCCCAAGGCTCGGCAAGGCTGCAGTGGAGCACGCAGCTGCCTGCAAATTAAAGGACCGGATAACCCCACATATGAATCTTTACGAATCTTAAGTTTCAAAAAGCACAAAGCAGTCAGAGTCTCAATAGCTTCTACAACACGGCCTTGTCAGGAAGTGATATCAGCTTCCGACAACAGAGGGGTGGGAGAGAAGGTGTAAGAGAGTGATGTGCACAACGGATGTACGAGGTATTGTGCACACAGGTGTGCGCAGCCACAACTAGCCAACAACACCAGCGGTTGTCGCACGTCCGCAATATGGGGCATAATGTACTAAAGTTGTACTACCAAGTCGCCAGTTCTCAGCTTCCAGCTCCCCAGCTACTCCGCGTACTA